TCATCGAAGGCACGCGGATCCCACTCAACATCATTCCAGATCGCAACTTCCTCGCGCTCTACCTCACGACGGCATCTGCAGAAGGGGAGACAGCAACAGAAGCAGAAGCAGAGGAGCCGCACAACGAAGCAGAACCAGGAGAAGAAGAAGGACCAGTGCTCCTCGTGGAACAGCCACACACATACGGAGAAGGAGACCCCAGGGTCTGTCAGCTGAAAAAATCCCTCGACGGGATAAAGCAGGCGCCGCGTCTCTGGCAGCAGCACCTGCACAAAATTCTCCTGGAAATCGGCTTCAGGCAGCTGCCGCATGACCCGGGAATGTACCGCCTTCACTTCAACGGCGATTACATCTTCCTGACTGTCTACGTTGACGACCTGCTGTACACCGGCACCTGCAACAAGCTCCTTAATCAGTTTGACGAGAACCTGGCACAGCGCGTTGATATCACCATCAACCACAGCGTCACGCAGTTTCTGGGCCTGAAACAATTCACCTGTCAGCCTCCAAGTATGCAGAGCAGCTGGAGGAACGCTTCAACATCTCACCCGCACCACTATCAACTCCTTACCGCAACCCCAGCACCAACTACAAACCGGACAACAAACCTCTGTCGCCTGCAGGACTCCAACTGTACCAGCAGCAACTGGGGTGCCTGCTGTTCGCCTCTGTCACATGCCGACCCGACCTTTCGTACATCGCCAGCCAACTGGCGCAGTACTCTCGCAAGCCAATAGCAGAGAACCAGCTGGACCTGGAGCGCGCCCTGCAGTACTTCATTTCCACACCTGACATCGGGCTCTCCTACTCCACCCTGGCAACAACCTCCTTCAACCTCAACGGCTACGTGGATGCAGATCATGCCGCTGATCCTGCAAATCGATGGTCACGAACCGGCTTTGTCTTCGGCCTGGTGCCAACATGACCAATCTCCTGGAACTCACAAAAGCAGGAACTATTTGCCCTGTCATCGGCCGAAGCAGAATACATCGCCGCGACAGCAGCAGCTCGCGAAGGTCTGTACCTGCAGGGTTGCTGCAGGAAGCGAAAATTCCAACATCGCCCACCTTTCGCCTTCACTACGACAACCAGAGCGCCATCAAGATTGCGAACAAGCCAGGGTTCGTGAACCGCACGAAGCACATCGCGCTTCGGTACTTTTTCGTCAAGGACGAAATTGACCAGGGCAAGGTTGACCTCACGTACTGCCCCACCACCGAGATGGCAACCGACTTCCTTACCAAGCGACTGCCACGTCAGCAGTACAAACACTGCTCCGACCTCACCGGAGTAGTCAAGCGAGTCAGCCCCCTACGCGCCCAGGAATGAAGGGGAGTGTTACGATATGAAACTTTATGAGAAGGCATTCCTGTATGCTGCAGGAGCCGACTCTACCGAGTACTAATTCGAGGAGTCAGAAGAGTCGAAGCGACGCTGGTAACCGTCTGACCAAGACCGATGCAGGCAGAAACATTTGAACTGAAAAGAGCGGGAACATGTTTGAAACGGGTTCCCGCGCCGCACGGTTTGAACTTCGCTGTAATAAGAGAATGTACCCCTTATATGTTGAGAGTAGCGGGAAGGTAAATTGGAGAAGAGGGTTTCACTAAGAGAACAAGGTACAAGATATAGGAGCGAGAGATAGCAAAGGGTGCACCACCTACAGAGAATATAACAATAACTACACTAATATGCAAAGGGCAGTTTATATATAAGATTGATGTTTAACACACCCCCTAAACTGCCCGGAGCAATAAGTAGTGCAGTCAACACCCCCATAAGGGGTACACCAAGGGCAGAGAGCAAAGCGGAAGGAGAAGGAGAGGGCAAGCGAGGAGGAGGAGAGAGAGAGAAATGAGAGGAGGAGGTGGGCGGCGGCTGAAGCTGCTAGCCCACGGGCTACTGGAGCACTGGCTCGCGGGCACTGGGGTAACTGGCTCGTACGCTTGGAGCATTCCGCTCGTACGGCTAGAGCAACTGACCCGACGGGCGACTGGAGCAACGGGCACACTGGCGACTGGAGCTGCAAGCTTCACGACAACCACCCCCCCTCCAACCTCTTGAACCTCTCCCTCCCCCTCCCCCAAACCTCCCCCCCCCCACAACAGCGGAGACGACTGGAGGAGCAAACAAACGGAGGAGGAGGCGGCTGGAAAAACGGAGACGGGAGAGGAGGAGAAGGCGGAAGCGGAGTGAGACAAGGAGAGGCGGAAGAAAAGGAGGAGAGGATAGGAGAGGAGAGTGGAGAGGGGGCTGGAGGAGAGGAGAGGAGAGGAGAGGAGAGGAGATGCGGCTGGAGTTGAGGAGGGGATGGACGAAGCCATTGGTGCTGCCACCTGTCTCCCGCCACCCCCTCACCCTCCCCCCCACAGCAGCACGCGCTGCAATGTGAGAGAGAGAGAGGAGAAGGGGCGGCGGCTGGCGTGGCAGAAGCTCTCCCGCCACCCCCTCACCCTCCTCCCCCTGCCCCCACAGCAGCAGCCGCGGGTGAGACGCTGCAGGGCGCGGATGGCTGCTGGCTAGTCACACCCGCCACCCCCGTACCCTTCCCCACTCCCCCCCCCCCCCAACTGCTGCAGCCGCAGCAGGGAGGGGGAGGAGTAGGGGGGGGGCGGCGTTGCATGTAGCCCACGGCGGCGTGCCCTGGTGTGACCTACGCGCTGCTGGTGCACACGCTGCAGGGGCGGGCGCTGATGAGCACGCTGGCGGCAGCTGCTGGCGCGTTCTGGCGTGCGTTGGCAGGCTGCTCGTTGGCGTTCGCTGGCGTTGCGCGCTGGCGAGCGGACGCGCGCGCGCTGGCGCTTCTCCTGCTAGCGCTGCTAGCGCAGTTGGCGTGCTGCTGGGCGAGGCTACGGGCGGGTCGCAGGGCAGAGGGGCGACGGCGCGAGCCATGCAGGTAAGTGGTGGGCCCATGGCGAGAAAAAAAAGGAGCAGGGGCCTAGGAAAGGCCTGCTCTGGATACCATGTTGAGATTACCTAGGACTTAGGTTTAGGAACGGCCTAGGCAAGTATCGAGAGTAGCGGGAAGGTAAATTGGAGAAGAGGGTTTCACTAAGAGAACAAGGTACAAGATATAGGAGCGAGAGATAGCAAAGGGTGCACCACCTACAGAGAATATAACAATAACTACACTAATATGCAAAGGGCAGTTTATATATAAGATTGATGTTTAACATTATAGTACATGGCTAGTCTAGGCCGTTTCGTATTCCTTTGTATTTCCTATATAAACTCGATGTATGCATGCTATTATCAATCTCAGTCATTTACATTCACTCTGATATGAGGTCAACTCTTCCGCTGCAACATTACCATGCGATCAACCCTGAGCGATCCTTCGCTAAGTCCCATTTAGGATTGTAACACATATGATCTCCAATCACATCGCCATCCCATCGCAATTCACCGTGAAAGGGTGAATTGCGATGGGATGGCATGAGGCGGGATGTTTGCCCGGGGACAAAATTGCTTCCCCATTTCCGGATGCCATGAAGCCGTCCGAAATGGAGGATTTGAGGGCGTTCGCCAGGCCCTCAAGATTCCATTTGGTCCGGACGGCATCCTAGGCTCGGCAGGATTTTTACGGGCTGACCATGCTGACGGACCTTAACGAACCCTAACTGACGGGATCAGGAAGGCGTGCCTGACCTTCCTGATCCCGTCGTTTTTGCTTTCAAAAGTGCTGGCGAACACCTCCTATATTAAGTTTTGTGTCTATGATGTATGCAACTGGTGCAATGTTCTTATGCGAAACAAACTTGTGGCCTCCTTTTAAGCCCGTTCGGTGTGTGACGTTGACGCACAGGTGCACACGCGGCCTGGAAATCTCGTCATTTTTGCAATTCCCGACCAAGCCAGTCTCACGGGGCTGGTGCGATTTGGAAATTCGGTGGTCACCACCTCGAAAGTTTTCGTACTTCAAGAACCACGGAAACCTTGCAATGAACCACGCAGTTCAATGGTCACTTGCAGAATCGTCGTAGTCAAGCTTGCTGCCCCAAGCATTCGCATCTGCCCGCAATTGACCGTCGCAAAATTGTTCTCCCCTCTAGTCGCATTGCCCGTTCGGGACAGGCCACCAAGGGTGGATTTTCCTAGTCCGCCCCCCTCGTTGTGCCCGTCGTCGTCGCACACTCTCGCGCTCCATGCATCGCATCGCTTCATCGTCCTGTCCGCTCATTCTCCTCGTCCCATTTCTTCGCACGTTACCCTCCCTCATTTCGCTCATCCGGTTCCAATCGCCTTGTCCATCGTTCGTCGTCAAATCCGACCCCTCTCGTCACTTGCCTTCCCGTACCTCGAAATCGTCATCGCTAGACGTAACGTTTTCGAGACACTGGGTGGCCAGCCGTGAGATCCACCAATCCACCACCACCACCAATTTCTTGGAGAGCCAGTTGGTTTCTTCGCCGAATTTCGCCCACCTTTCCGACTGGCTCCACCACCTCCATTCGCCTCGCCTCGCCACCCACGCGCCTCCCTCCCTCTCCCCTTGTCCCACCCAGATCCTCGCGCGCGTCACTGGACTCCTCTGTTCTCTCCTCTCCTCTCGTCTCCCCTGTGATTCTGTCAACTCGTGTGTCTCCTCTCCACTCTTACTCTTGCCTGTCCTCGCGCGTCTGTTTGGTGATCACCGATCCGATTGATGATCACGATTACCCCACTTTCCCTTCTTTCTGTGCCTACGCTCTTGTTGCTGACGCCACAATTATCGACAGCTGATTCATAAATCAGTGTCTTTATAAGTGCCCATCGATATATACTTGGTTTTGCGATAGTTTTTAACTCGTCTTTTAGATTCAGCATATCATCAGCCTGTCGCTTACTGGTTCCACCAGTTGCTCTAACGTTCAGGACGCTTCCTAGTGCAACCGTCTTTCTGGGCCGAACCTCTGCTACTTGTGCTTCTGTTCTTAAAATAAGATATAAGAGGAAAGGCGAGGCAAGTGGTCCTGCTCCGATATAAAGCGAGATCTGGTCCTGGTTTCACGAGCGGCGCGATGCATATCGTGGAGCGACCATACGCCGCGAGGCTGAATAGCCCCGCCGGTGTGGGAGCGGGTCCGCGTGACGCCGCGATTCACGGCGGATCGCCTCAGAGATTGCACTTCGAAACGAATCCCGAGCTCTGCGATCTCGACGATCCCTCCTACTACATGTCGCTTGACCACCAGCCCGACCGGCAGATTCTCGTGCAGACGTCCAGAATAGGGGTACGTCTTTAATCTCATTAAGGGGTATGTCAGAAAGCGCAATAGGGGGTACGTCGACCCCGCGTGCTGTTAGATCACTTACTATAGTCTCAAGTTGTTGAAGCGTCACGTTATTACGTCGCTCGACGCTATCGCTTACGACACCCTCTCACGACGGTGCTATCTTGTTGGTCTTGCAGGCAGGAGTGCCCGTAGTCGAGAAGGTACGGTGGTTGGACCAGCAGTTGTCGCACCTGCAGTGTCCGTACCCGATACAGCATATCGAGTTCACCTATTCCGGGGATGCAGGTACAATCCAACCACTGTTGTTAACCGATCGCTAGCTTAAGAGGTTTGTTCGGTTTTTCTTTTTTTGAATCCGCTAGCTTGAGTGTCGACTGTTAGCGACGCTAATATTCCTCTTCGTCGTCGGCGCAGTCGTTCAGTTTATCTCGGAGGCCGCCAAACTGAAAGCGCTGACGCGCTGCGGGTCATTGCGGTGGAGGAGCGTGGAGATCGCCAGCTGGCCGTGCGCGGAGGAGGACGTTCGGGCGCTGTCGTGGGTCGGAATCACTGGCGCGCTTCCGGAGATCTTTCCTCTCGTGCGACAGGTACGCTGCTGCTTCTTCGCTGTGCTGGCCCTGTGCTGTGGTGGGTTCACCAGCTTTTAGTCACCTTTCAGTGATCCGATATGATTGTGATACGGGTTTACCTAAACGTGCCCTTTTTTTTCCACTTTACCTCCTCCCCCCCTGACCCATCCCCACACCGTCCGTCCCCCCTCACAACCCTTCCCCTTTCTTGTTGGTCACAGGCGCTGCAGCAATACGGCGAAGTGAAGGGGGAGTGTCCTCCTCCACCCAACAACCACCTTCTGTTGGCGCAACAGCAGAGGAGGTTCCCAATGCTCAAGTATTATTTCGTCCCTAACGGGAAGAAGAGGCTTCCGCCTTCCATCCAGATTGTCAGGCCAGACCGGTAAGTGCATTTAGATTGTCTGCATGGCTCTCGTTCGTTGTCCCCCCCCCTCTTTTTTGTAACTGACCTTTTCCCCTCCACTTCCTCAGGCCAAAGGCGTACCCACCATGCACAGTCCAGCTTTTCACCCCGTTTGGACCTCTTTCGCCAACCTGTTCTGATTTTGGCAAGGCACACTCTTTGTATGGTTGTCCAACATGCTACTTCAGTAGCACTCAAACCCACTTCGGTGCTTAATTCAATACTGGGTTATAACAGTCTAATCGGACCAGCTTCTGGCTGGTCTTGAGGAAGGTAGGAGGCAAGGCGTGATAGCGTGTGCATTTATGAGCAGTAGCAATTGGTGCTAGGTTTAGCATTGTAAAGTTTTGATTGGTCATGCTATGTCAGAAGCATTAGGAATGACTATTTTGGTTCTTCGCATTCTACAGTTATCTAATGCTCAAGCCTTTGATTACTGTGTAACACTTGCTACGGTAGTGTGCTCCAACAGCTTTGTCATTGATCAACGTCAGTTGTATTGTATTGCTCATGACCTCAAACCACGTCCCATGAAAGGAAAAAACGGGGAGGTGGCTAAATTCAACATGGAATCAGCTACAGGTAAGAGTAGCTAGTACCTACAAACGAAACACCCAAAAATAATGTCACTTATAGGTAGAAGTCATCAACCTCTAAAGCCCATTGCAGCACTCATCCTATCTCACCAACTGAGTCGCACTCAATCAATCTTGACCGATGCATAGATCAGGCGCACGAACCAGTAGCATGCATAGAATCCAATGGTCCCTGTGAGAATGAAGAAGCTGTAGGAGATGATGACCATGTAGCCAAAGTAAAGGATAGCTGACACGAGCTTGGTGATCTCCAGCTTGGTGAAGAAGTAGAAAGTCGCATAGAGGAAGAGGTAAAGAGCCGATGAACCGGAAGTCAGATACGCTCTCCACCACCAGCGGTAGTCCTCACTGCAGAGCTGGAAGTAGCAGAGCACAATGGTGATCTCTGCGCACGTGATGATGAGGATGACAAAGACGATGAAGAGGAAGCCGAAGATGTAGTAGAACTGCTGCAGCCACATGGAGGTGAGGATGAAGAACAGCTCGATGAACACCGCACCGAAGGGCAGAATGCCTCCAATGAGGATGGAGAACACGGGGTGCATGTACCACGCCTGCTCGGGGATCTGTCGCGGAATCTTGTTTGTGCGGACTGGATCCTCAATAGCAGGCTTCTTGAAGCCAAAGTAGCTTCCCAGAAGGACTAGAGGCACAGAGATGCCGAACCAGAGGAAGAAGAGAGCGAACATGGTGCCGAACGGAACGGCTCCAGAGGACTTCTCCTTCCAGATCAGAATGTTAAGCATGAAGAAGATGACGAAGACAACAACCGGGTAGGTGACTGCAGTGCGGATGGTGTTCAGCTTCCAGTCAGTGCCCTTGAAGGCCTTGTAGAGGCGGGCGGACGAGTATCCAGCCAAGAGACCCATGAAGACCCAGAGCAGAAGCATGGCAGTCATAAGACCACCACGGTTGGATGGGGAGAGGAACCCGAGAAGGGCAAACACCATCGTGACAAGTGTCATGAAGAACAGCTGCACACCCGTGCCGACATACACGCAGAGCAGGCCAGCATAGTTGGGTGGGCGGAACACATCACCATGGACCAGTTTCCACCCAGTCTCCTCCTGTGCCTCCTCCTGAGTCTCCAACTGATTGTACTGGGAGATGTCGCGGTGGAGAGTGCGCATCATGATCATGGCAACCATGCCCGAGAGGAAGAGGACGATCATGAGGGAGTTGATGATGGAGAACCAGTGGATCTGGTCGTCCGTCATGAGAAGGTACGTGTCCCAGCGCGACGCCCACTTCACGTTGCTAGGCTGCAATGAGAAGGAAGAGGGGAGTTAAAGCACAAATGGAAAATGCACATGGGTTAACATGAACATTAAAAACCAGACGAAGTACAAACATAAATACCCAGACTGCCTTATACCAAAATAAGACTTCTTTACTAGTATTTCCCGTATAAGAAATGCTGGGACTGGATGCAACATTGTTAAACCCGACCCCAGTGGATCTGAACTAACGTTATGGCTCCCCCTTCCTCTGATACGTTGGTGTCAGATATTTCACATCTTAGTCCGTGTCAGCTTACAGTTTTTGACGTGTCGGTTCAGATTACACAGCTTACTAGGTGTCCTACGTGTTCGCTCATGAAACACCATGCTTCTAGATTGTTACTAACGTCCCACTAGCATGTTGCATTGAAGCGATCCAATAAAACAATCGCACTGGCGTTACCTTCATGTGCACCCAAAGACCTCGCGCGCTATCAGTCATTTTCCCGACATCGCACATTCCCCTTTCTCTGCTATGTTGGTGTCGGATATTTCACATCTTAGTGCGTGTCAGCTTACAGGGTCGTGTCGGTTGAAATTACCCAGCTTACTCGGTGTTCTACGTGTCCGCTCGTAAAACACCACGCTTCCAAATTGTTACTATCGTCCCACTAGCATGTTGCTTCGAAGTGATCTAAAGAAGCAATTGCACTGGTGTTACCTTCATGTGCACCCCAAGACCTCGCAAGCTATCAGTAAAATTCCCGACATCGCACATTGGCGCACTCGGAAATTCACGTACCTTGAACATCACATCGTAGGTGAAGATGACCTCCTCGTTCTCCGTGATCGGCTGCGGTGGCATGCCGCTGTCCACATGCTGAGTCGGGTTTCCTGGGTTGCAGGTCGTGAGGATAGGCTTCGCCGGGTTGTAGGTTCCCTCGTACTGGTGCTTCACACTGCACGCAATGACCATGTTCAGGTTAGCGCATGAAGTTTGCACGCTCATTCATAAAAAACCAGAACTGTTGGCACCTACCTGAAAGGTTCGACTTCGAAACCGACGACGCGAGCCAGATTGTTCGTGGGATCTTTGTGGAACAACACAGTGAATCGCAGGTGGTTGTGCAAGAAATACTCATCGGGCCCATTCTGCAAGCACATTGGAAACAGACTAGACGTTAACGTCATGATCTGCTGAAGATCCATCATTTTTAACAAAACTGAGGCGGCTATGTGACATAAATGACATACCGTTTCGGAAGGAGCCTTGAATCCCACAGGAAATCCACGCTCATAAGTCTTGATGGACTCACCACCTTCCTCCGCGCGCATCCTGACCATGGCCGCTGGCAGATTATCAAGGATCCTGCAATGCACAAACCGAGACATTAGAACCACTTCGAGGAAAGATACAAAAAAACAAGTAAATGAAACGATTCGTACATGAAGACGCGATATTCGTCATCGATCTTTTCCTGGAATTGAAGAGCCTCCTCAAGGGGAACCTTCGCCTTTCTGCAGACGATCTTGCACTGCTCGTCGATCCTCATTTGAAACTGCGACCCAGAGAAGGTAAGATTCGCACCGTAAGAAGCCGGCAACACATCATAATGTTGCTAAACATCATAAAATAATTCGTAATACAGACCTGATAGGGAGAGTTCTCAATTCTGTCACCACGCAGAATCTCGCCCAGATTTTCCGCCACTGGCTTAATCCCCTCTTCCGGAAGGCAGAAGGGGAGTGAATAGTACTCATAGGGAAGTTGAGTTCTGGTCGATACTAACTTGTTGACTTTAACGAAAAGTGGATCCTCCTGCTCAGACATTGCGCGGAAGTTAGTGCTGATCCATAAATGCTCAAACATCGCTCATCGGCTACGGCGAAGATATTAACCTTCTTGAAGTCTTGAGGAGCCACGCCAGGAAGGTAAAAAGCAGAAGCGGCATTCACAAGTGCCAGCAGGCACACGAAGGCCACAAGACGAGCCATGGCCGCGGTAACGAATCTGGAAAAGCACCTATCTTAGAAAGACTAACACCAAGACCTGAAACTTGGATTCAACCTAGCTGAGATCTGTTCCACACCCTGAACACCAGGATGCAGGAAATCTGTTCAACCTAGGAGTTGCTGCTGGTTGAGTCCAGGGGAGGAAGCAAATCGGCACACAGGGAAGATGTGGACATGAGGGAGGGAGGGACAGTGCTGGCCGAAGATCCGTGATTGGCGGAAGGTGGTGTTGGGGTAAAACGCGAGCGGAAAGTTGGCGGGGAATGGGGGGTTGGAAGCGGGGGTGCGGGGAAGAGTTGCGGGGACGGGTGCAAGGGTAGTGCGGTCAACCAATGGTGGAGAGCGGCGGATGGAGCAATGCCCGCCAAGTCTCCAAGAGTGGCTGCCAACAAGTGGGAGGTGGCAGGTGAGACTGACACAACCGCCATAGGAACAATCTGGTGACAACATCGAGAATACATTTGTGCAGAATCAATAATTCCTTGCAAACATGCCTTCCCTAGAATTCTGAACCTTCATTTCCGAAATTGGCACTCCCATATGAGTCTCACTACAGAATTATCATGTACCACTCACAAGTTTGAATGTGTGATTGCGTGCATGATGTATAATAACAATGCATGTACGGAACGTAAGATTGATGGATTCAAGTTGAAAGAAGGCCCATCCGAATAACCACATAAACCATTTTTTGTATTTTGAACTTGAAACAAAGCAATGGCTGCTCAGTGCCAATTTGCCCTGGTATGACTGTCCTTTTGTACGGCATAACTTTTTGATCAGCATGAATGGGACAACTTATTTTTCTTTACTGCATACAACTTGCAAACTGAGCAGTGCTGGCATCATCTGCTTTGAACTTTAGGCTGCACTTTTCTTGGCATCTCTGATCCTACTCTGCTTTTCTGCGTCTTGTTGGACCTCCTTTCCCGCCCTTAAGATGCATTGTCGACCCCGCATTCCTTCCGCCACCACCCGTTGCCTTGCCTCTACGCAAACCACCAGCAACACCAGCAGCAGCAGCAGCAGCACGCATACCCCCACCAGCGCCAGCAGCACCAGCGGCGGCAGCATCAACGGCAGCGGCCATACCAGCACCAACGTCCTGTGATTCCTCTGTGAAGCTGGAGAGGCCAATGCTCTCACCCAGACGCACATGAGCCGTGGCCTCCCAAGAACCACTCTCATCATCACCTTTCTCACTATCTGTGTCAGCATCAGCATCAGCATCAGCATCAGCATCAGCATCAGCACCAGCTTCATAACCATCAGTAATGCCATTACTGTGACCCGCATTCACTGTGTCAAGTCGGTTTGACGAAAGTATGCGCTTCTTTCTCTTCTCAACAGCTTCCTTGACAGCTTCCACTCCTTCCTCCCTCTCCTCCTTCCCCTCCTCTTCTCCCTCCTCCTCCCCATCCACCTCCCCCTCCTCTTCTACCTCCTCCTCTCCCCCCCCTTTCCCCTCCTCGCCCTCCTCCCTCCCCTTTTCCTCCTGCTTCACTGGTGCCCTCAAACCCTTCTGCCTGCTGCGTACGTCGGCCAATGAGGCGATGACAGCTGGCTCGGTGTCAAATAGCACGTGTGGCAGCGGGGAGGCATGCATGCAGGAGGGGCGGGCGAGGAGGGCGATGAACCAGTCGGGGGAGACCACCGCGGGGGAGTTGTGGCGCGAGGGGGCCAGCAGGCGACGGGCCACCGGGTCTCTCTCAGACGTCTCTGTGATGGGGTGAGGGAGGGGTGTGGATGGGAAGGACACAACTCAGCTGAAGTAAAGACTGACAGAAGCACAAGTGTGGATGTTGTGGGGGGTATGGATGTTGTGGTGTTTGCTATGTGGCGCTGTGGCACGGGGTGTCTCTCAGCACGTGCACACAAGCACACAAGCACATACGCTCACACCAGCCCCACCTGGCTTGAGCACGACAAAGTCAAACTGTGGTGCGAGTGCCGCTGCCACACAGGGCTCCGAGGCTCGAGTCACAGCCGCACCCCCTGCTGTGAGAATGCGATGCAGCACGTCCTACAGGTGTGTGGCCACGTGGGGAGGGGGGAGGGGGGAGGGGGGAGGGGGGAGGGGGGAGGGGGAGAGGACAGAGGCGGTCAGCTGCATTCGAGTTCCAGTTGGCCCCCCTGCCGTGAGAATGTGATGCAGCACGTCCTGCAGGTGTGGTTGAGTGTTGTGCGATGGGACAGAAGAGGAGACAGAGAGAATGAGGAGCAGAGAGCAGCGAGCAGCAGCACCAGCTGCCCTCGCACCTCGCCTCCGTCTCTGCCCTCCCGACACCTGCTGGGAGCAGCTGCAGGACCAGGACAGAGCAGGCCATAGCATAGGCGAGGTAACTGGTGTGGCACTAGCAGCACCCCAACCACTGCATTTCTCAGCATTCCTCCCGCACTGTTCCAAGTAAGCCGCATTGCCTTCACACACGCGTACCATAGAAGAAGGGCTGTCAGATGGAGGCACCAGCAGCACCCGTGCCCCACGCTCCCCTCCCCCCGTTTCGCCCGCACTGCCGGCGCCCCCTGCTTACCAGCATCGCACACGTACCATGGAATTCGGCCCATCTTCGGGAGGCACAAGCAGCACCCGTGCTCCATGAAAAGCCACTCTCCCCCCGTTCTTCTCGCCCTGCCGGCGCCACTGGCAGGGCGCTGCGAGCTCCACCGTGCCATCCCTGTTGCTGCCCTCGCCCCGTCACCCCACTCATAGGGACCCTCTCGAACGCCTCCTTTCCCCGCATCCCTGCCGCATTGCAGCCTCTTCTGACTCAACGCATACATACCATAGAGGAAGGGCTTTCAGAAGGAGGCACCAGCAGCACCCGTGCCCCATGAAACGCGCCTCTGCCTCCATTCCTCTCGCACTGCCGGCGCCACTGGCTGGGAGCTGCGAGCTCCACCGTGCCGTCCCGGTTGCTGCCCTCGCCCCGCCACTCATAGGGGCCCTCTGGGAGGAAATGGCCTGCTGTGGCACTCGCTGTGAGGTAGTCTGGTGTGAGCACCCACCTGGGGTGGAGGGCGTATGGAAAGACAGTGACGAGAGGGCAAGGGTGAGTTTCTGCCGTCCCTGTTGCTGCCCTCGCCCCGCCACTCAAACGGGCCCTCTGGGAGGAAATGGCCGGCTGATGCGCTTGCTGTGAGGCAGTCTGGTGTGAGCACCCACCTGGGGTGGAGGGCGTATGGAAAGACAGTGACGAGAGGGCAAGGGTGAGTTTCTGCCGTCCCTGTTGCTGCCCTCGCCCCGCCACTCAAACGGGCCCTCTGGGAGGAAATGGCCGGCTGATGCGCTTGCTGTGAGGCAGTCTGGTGTGAGCACCCACCTGGGGTGGAGGGCGTGTGGAAAGACAGTGATGGGTGTGCAAGGGTCAGTTTGCCGTTCCTGTTGCTGCCCTCGCCCCGCCACTCATAGCGGCCCTCCGGGAGGAAGTGGCCCGCTGTGAGGTAGTCTGGTGTGAGGTAGTCTGGTGTGAGCACCCACCTGGGGTGACGGTGGATGGAGAACGTATGGAACGGTGGTGATGAGAGGGAGTGTGAAAACATGGTGATGGTAGTATGGGGTATGGTTCGTATGGTGTGTGGTTCGTAAGGGGTGGGGGAGGAAGAGGTAGTAGGGAGAGGAGGCGAGGGCGCAGTGTGAGAAGCAGAAGAGGAAATGGCCTGCTGCTGCGCTGGCTGTGAGGTAGCCTGGTGTGAGCACCCACCTGGGGTGTGGTTTGCAATGCAAGGGGTTAGAAAGGGAGAGGCGTGGAGAGGAAACGACCCCTTTGAGTGGCCCGCTGTGAAAGTGGGAAGAGGGAGAAGAGGAAATGGCCTGCTGCTGCGCTGGCTGTGAGGTAGCCTGGTGTGAGCACCAATGGAGGGCGAATGGGGAGACGTTGAACGAGAGGGAGGGGTCAATAGGTAAAGGAAGAGAACATGAGCCAGTAAGGAGCTTCAGTGGCAGACAAATAGGCATGCATGAGGTGAGCAGGGGTGTCCTGCAGAGAGCATGGGTGCAACGCGGAGAGCAGGGGTGAAATGCGGTGAAAAGAGGTGCATGCACCCACCGGCTAGGAGCCAGGGCAGCAATGAGCTTCTCAGTGCGTTTGAGAGGCGGGGGCAGGATGACATGCGTGGCCTTGGAATGAGCAGTGGGATAGGGTGAGCAGCGGTTCAGAGGGGTGAAAAGAGGTGCATACACCCACCGTCCAGCAGCCAGGGCAGCAATGAGTTTCTCAGTGCGTTTGAGGGGCGGCGGTAGGATGACATGCGAGGCCTTGGGGCAAGCAGAGTGCGGTGCAATGCGGTGAGAATAGGTGCATCAATCGACCCACCGTCCAGCAGCCAGGGCAGCAATGAGCTTCTCAGTGCGTTTCAGGGGCGGCGGTAGGATGACATGCGTGGCCTTGGGATGCCACTGCAGCTCCGCTCCCTCCCCCTTCTCACCTCTCCTCCCTCCTCTCCCACCTCCCACTCTCCCTTCAGAGCCCCCTGCCTCTCCGCACACGCGGCCTCCCAGCCGGGTGACAATGGCCCTCAGTTGCCCTTCACTGCGAGACGACCCCCCCAGAAGGAACCACCGTTCTCCGCCGCCCCACATGCTCATCTCCGCCCCTCCCTTGCCTCCACTGCCCTCTGGTTCGCTCCGTTCGTCCCCCCGTTTTGTTGCTGCCACAGGGTCTCGTTTCTGCCCGTCTGCCTGGCTGCAGCTCTTGCTGCTGGCACGACCACCAATGCTGCCACCAGCACCAGCAGCACCAGCAGCAGCACCACCCGCGCCACCACCGCTGCCACTGGGGCTGGAGCTGCTGATTGGCTGGAAAAACCGCGTGATAGGAGTCAGGGAATCAGCGCGAGCTTTGGTAGCAGTAAGCTTGGTGGTTGGAGCAGCAGGTTTGGTGGTGGGAACAGGCTTGGCAGTAGGAGCAGGCTTGGCAGTAGCGGCAGGCTTGGCAGTAGCGGCAGCTTTGGCTCTAAGAGCAGGTTTAGCAGTAGGAGCACCCCCTTTCTTGCGTGCACCTTTCTCCTCTGCGCTCTCCTCTTCCTCTCCACCCGAGCTCCCACTCACTCTCTTCCTTCCTCTGCTCTTCACACCCCTACCACTGCCCTCCTCTGCCCGCTTCGGCCCCCTCTTCCTACCAGTCCCAGCAGCTTCGGCCCTTGCACCCACACCAGCCCCGTCCACAGCTGCAGCAGCAAGTGCCCTTTTGCGTGAAATTTCACCCGACTCTTCCTCCTCACCCTGAACGTCCGCCTCACTCACAACGTCCTCCCTACCCTCAGCGTCCTCCGCACCTCCGTGCACCATCACAATATCATCATCACTCTCCTCCCCATGCACTATCACAACGGCATTATCACTCTCTCCCTCAACACCCAACTCTTCATCAATCTCTCCCCCCACACATACCTCGTTCTCAGCACCGATTGCCTTTCCTCTCCTCCTCACATCACACTCCATCCCTGCACCACCTCTTTTCCCTCTTCTCCCCCCTTCCTCTGCACCCTTCCCACTCTCAACGCACTTCCTCTTCCGCTCCCCCTTGTCTCCAGCCATTTCGAGCTCCCCTCGTGTCTCCTCTCTCCCAATCCCTGCACCTCCTTTCCCTCTCCCTTCCCCTTCTTCTGCACCCTTCCCACCCTCAACACACGCCTTCTTCCTCCCCCGCTTCGCTGCTGCACCAATAGGTGCCTTGCCTCCGTTACTCCTACCTTTCCCCTTCACCAATTCTTCCTCGCCTGCCCTCCCCTCTGCATCCAACTCCACCTCTCGCAGCTGCTTTACCGTTTTGAGGCGCTTCAGAACCCTCCGCCCTGCACCCACGTCCCCATCCTCCTGCCATTCTTGGTCCTCTTCCTCCTCCTGCTGTTGCTGCTGCTGCTGCTGCTGCTGCTGCTGCTGCTCTCTCTCAGCTTCTCCCTCCCATTCGCCCTCACTCCCTTCAGCGTCTGCGTCCCCATGCTGCTGCTGCTGCTCTATCCCACCTTCTATCCCAGTTTTTCTCTCCCCCTCGCTCACTCCACACTCCGGCCTTCGTGCAGCAAACTCCTCTCCCCACCGCCCCCGATCACTCAAGGGATCCTCTCGGCGTTTCGTCCTCACCTCCCTCTCATCTTCTCGACGTTTTGTCCGGACCTCCGTTTCCCGTTCCCTCTCCCTCTCCTTGCCACCACCACGCACCTTTCCTTTCACCGACTCCCTCCCCTTCCACTCCCCCACCACACCCAACACTACATCCTCCCCTTCCCCAGCTGCAGCACCGCCCTCCAACCTCCCCCATCCCTCTCCATCGCATCTCGGCCCTTCATCCATATCATCCACCCGAACCTCCCCTTCCTCCACCTCCCTTCCATCCACCCCCTCCTCATTCCGCCGCCTCTTCCCCTCTCGTCGCTCACTTCCCTTCCTCTTCTTCCCGCCCCCATCCCTCTCCCCTCGATCCTTCTTCCCTCCACTCCCCTCCTGTCCCCCCTCCTCTCCGCCCTCCACAGCCAATGAAAGTGGCCCATCCTTCTTCCTCTCCACACCTCTGCCGCGTCCCCTGCCTCCTCCTCTCCCCTCTCCTCGTTCCCCCCTCTTCCCCTTGCCCTCGCCCCTCACCAACCCCTTTCCACACACCTCCTTTTCAAGATCTGTCTTTGCAAGACTCGTCTTCTCAACATTCTCCTTCCCTCCTGCCGGCTTTCTCCGGTGGAACGTTTTGACCAATGGGGAGGGTGCCACGTGGCCAATGACCACATCGCCCTGCAGCCAATCAGGAAGAGAGGAGACGACCGGCCCGTCCTCGTCCTCATCCCCCTTACAAGCAGCCTCGTTTTCTTTCCCTCCGCCAGCATTAACCCCATACTCGTTACCACTACTATCCGTTTCATCATCATTGCATACAGGCTTGACAACATCCTTATTGCACATAGCAAGTTTTTCACCTTCATTGTTTCCCCCGTCACTGTTCCTCCCCTCACAGTCCACCCCCTCACTCTTACCCCCCTCATCACCACCACATGCCTTCCTAGCATCAGCTAGTCCATTGTCGTTTCCCCCTCCCATCCCACCATCACCAGTCCCTCCTCCCATCACAACACCACCCTCAACCCCCCCTCCCGTTGCACCACCCTTGTCACTCCCCCCTCCCATCGCACCATCATCAATACCCCCTCCCTTCACAACACCACCCTCATCCCCCCTTGCCACCCCCTCCTTTGCATCCATGCCATCACCACAGCCGCCACTCTCCTCGTGCATCGACCTAGCCTGAGGGCCACCCACCCTCTCCCCACTGCCACCTGCATCCCTCTCCACCGAACTGGAACGTTTAGAAGGACGATCCGCCCTCTCCTCACTGCTACCTGCACCCCTCTCTACCGGACTACAACGTTGAGAAGCACAATCCACCCTCTCCCCACTGCCGCCTCTCTGCTCCTCCCTGAGACGCCTCACTGGGAGCTTCCCACCCTGCCTGCTGGGCCCTGCACGCTTGCCACTGCTCACCAGCACCCCCGCACTCTCCTCACCTCTGCCGCTACACCCTCTCCCCTCTGCACGTTTTCCAGCAGCAGCAGCAGAAGCAGCACGGCCGGAGCTGCAGCTCAGTCCACCCATATCCACCGCCATGCCTATGCCCGCGTGCATGCCACTCAGGCGCAGTGGCTGTGATTGCTGCGCGGTTGGCGAAGGTACTGCTGCTGCCATTGATTCGGCAGCTCGCTCCTCGTGTTCCTCTTGCTGCTGCTGCTGCTGGCAAACTTTCACTTGCGATGTTTTCTCGGTCGTTGGAACCGGAACATTCCCAGTGCCAGCTGCCACGCTAGCCACATCACCGGCTGCATCTGCCACATCAGCAGCCACACTTCCTTGCCCGCTTGCCTGAAGTGAACTCACCACTCCAGCTGTAGCACGCCTGCCTGTAGCACGCTCACCTGCCACACCATCTGCCACACCACCTGCCACACCACCTGCCACACCACCTGCCACACCACCTGCCACACCACCTGCCACACCACCTGCCACACCACCTGCCACACCATCTGCCACACCACCTGCCACACCACCTGCCACACCATCTGCCACACCACCTGCCACACCACCTGCCACACCACCTGCCACACCACCTGCCACACCACCTGCCACACCACCTGCCACACCACCTGCCACACCACCTGCCACACCACCTGCCACACCACCTGCCACACCACCTGCCACACCATCTGCCACACCACCTGCCACACCACCTGCCACACCACCTGCCACACCACCTGCCACACCATCTGCCACACCACCTGCCACAGCCACTACTGAACCGCCTGTCCCCTCGCTCACAGAGTCAAAGACGCCTCTCAGGTTCACAACAACGCCCTGTGGACCAGGGGACTGCTCCCCGCCCACACCACTCCCCTCGCCCTCCCCACTCTCACCCCCCTCACTTCCCCCAGCTTGCCTCTCACGCCCCTGTGGATCAGGGGACGGCTCCCCCCCTTCACCCCCCTCACCCTCCGCCCCTTCTCCCCCCTCACCCTCCGCCTCTTCACCCCCATCACCCTCCCCGCCCTTACTCCCCTCGCCCTCCCCACCATTCCTCACTCGCACTTCCCTGCCCTCCCCAGTTTCCACCTCATCTAGTCGCTGCCACATGTCCCTCTGTCCCATCTCCTCCTCCTCATCCCCTTTCTCACACCACTCTTCCTCCTCCTCTCCCTCCTCCTCTCCCTCCTCCTCTCTCTCCTCCTCAGTTTCCGCATCCTCCATGTCTTCTTGCCCACAAAGCACCTCCTCCCCTCCCTCCTCACCTTGCGCTTCCCCCTTCTCCTCTCCTTCCTCATCTCCTCTCTCCTCCCCTTCCTCTTCTTCCTCCCCCTCTTCCTTCATATCCTCATTACCCTCCTCCTCCCCTTCCACACGCTCCACCACCCTCCATTCCTCTCCTCTACCCTCCTCTCCCTCTCCCTCCTCTCGCCTCATACAACCACCTCCAGGTTCTCTCACCATCCTGTCAACTGCCTTCCCAAACCCCTCCCTACCCCCTGCAATTCCCCTGCGTGCCTCACAGCCTACATCCACTGCCCCAGCACTCTGTATTCCCACACCTCTCAACACACCCCCCTCCGCCTCTCTAACCCCCACCCTCACCCCACCACTCTCCCCTGCGTTTGCACCACCTGCCCTTTCCGCTTCCGTCCCTCCCCAACAACCCACCGCCCCACCTGCCGTATCGCCCCTCCCCTCACAACCCACCGCCCCACCTGCCGCATCGCCCCTCCCCTCACAACCCACCGCCCCACCTGCCGCATCGCCCCTCCCCTCACAACCCACCGCCCCACCTGCCGCTTTGCCCCTTCCATCTCCCACAACAACACCAGCAGCACCAGGCGCAGCTTCAGCATTAGCAGCACAAACGACAGACGTCGCATGAGTGACAGGAGTGGCATGCGTCGCACGAGTGGCATTAGTGGCACGAGTAGTGTGATTGGCTGTCCTCCCCACCACAGCCTCGGCTGCAGCCACCTTTAACGAGCCTCCGTTGGCATGTGCAGCACCGACTTCATCTGTCGTAATAACTCGATTCCCCTCGGCACCATGTGCATTGGCAGCATGATCCCTTGAACAACCGGAAATAGCGTCACCACCTGCCATGCAGCGCGCTGACGGCCCACCCACCGCACCACCACCTGTAGCACCACCTGTAGCACCACCTGTAGCACCACCTGTAGCACCACCTGTAGCACCACCTGTAGCACCACCGGCTGTAGCACCACCCCTGCCACCCCTGCCAGCACCGGCTGTAGTGGCACCGGCAGTAGCGACACCACCAGCTGCAGCACCGGCTGTAGCGACAACATCTGTTTGAGTTGCGGGCGTGGTGGCAGAGGCCTGCGAGGCAGCAGCTCGCAGCTGAGCCTCCACTGCTGCTGCTGCCGCTGCTGTTGCCTCCTGCAGCCTCTGCAGTTCTGCCTCCTCTCCACTGGTGTGTGCGCACACGAGCAGCATGGGATGGGATGGATGGCGTAGGGGATGAATGGAACAGAATCAGTGAATGCGTGGCATGACTGATGTTGCTCTCTGCAGGCGCTACAGCTCTGCCTCCTCTCCACTGGTGCGTGCGCACACGAGCAGCATGGGATGCATAGGGCATGGGACGAATCGGGCGTGGGAAGCATGGAAAAGAATGAGTCGATGGATGGCATGACTGCTGCTGCCTCCCGCAGATGCTGCAGCTCTGCCTCTTCTCCACTGGTGAGCACAAGTGCATGGAATGCATGGGGCAAGAAATGAATAGGGTATGGGATAAATGGGGCGTGGGAAGCATGGAAAAGAATAATTGAATGCATGGCACGAGTGCTGTCGCCTCCTGCAGCCGCTGCAGCTATGCCTCTTCTCCACTGGGGCGAATGAGAGGAAGGATGGTGGAAAACAGCGACGCAATGGCAGGACTGTCAACACCTCCGGCAAACTGCTGAAGGTCCAGAAGCAATGGGGGAGAATGGTGAGCAGGAGAGGGAGATGGGGAGAACGAGTCACTGGATGCGGGCATGGCTGGCATGGCTGCTGTGGTGACACAGACTTTGAGAGTGCAGAGGGAGAAGCGGTGACAAGAGAATGTGTGCAGAGGGAGAAGCGGTGACAAGAGAATGTGTGCAGAGGGAGAAGCGGTGACAAGAGAATGTGTGCAGAGGGAGAAGCGGTGACAAGAGAATGTGTGCAGAGGGAGAAGCGGTGACAAGAGAATGTGTGCAGAGGGAGAAGCGGTGACAAGAGAATGTGTGCAGAGGGAGAAGCGGTGACAAGAGAATGTGTGCAGAGGGAGAAGCGGTGACAAGAGAATGTGTGCAGAGGGAGAAGCGGTGACAAGAGAATGTGTGCAGAGGGAGAAGCGGTGACAAGAGAATGTGTGCAGAGGGAGAAGCGGTGACAAGAGAATGTGTGCAGAGGGAGAAGCGGTGACAAGAGAATGTGTGCAGAGGGAGAAGCGGTGACAAGAGAATGTGTGCAGAGGGAGAGGCGGTGACAGCAGGTGTGTGCATCTCTTCTCACCTGGCGGAGTATCGCTCCTCTGGCACCAGCCTCCACTCCCTCAAACTGTGATGGGTACGAGGAGGGTAGAGGGATGCAGAGGGATGCAGAGCGATGCAGAGGGATACACAGAGATGCTCAGGGATGCTCAGGGATGCTCAGGGATGCTCAGGGAAGCACATGCAGCACACGAAGCGCAAGGAAGGAGGAGATGGACTGAAAGAGAAGGCTAACGTGTCATAGGCCACACGTGTAGCGCAGACAGTGTCAAGAACGCACACGCCGTAAACAGGGCAGGCAGGTCAAAGGCTCGAAAGGTGGACCCAGGTACCAGAAGAGCCCTGGCATGCCCGGCGGCCGTAAATCCATGGCATGCCCGTCAACCCTAGGGGCCTTCCCCCCTGTTCCACAACTGCACTGCACTTGATGTGCCTGACGCTCCCATCCCCTCAGGGCAGTCGGGCCACGCCCCTCACCTCCCTCCATTTCACTGGCTCTACCCCTCTATGAGTCAAACTTCTCAGTCGACTAAGAATCAATCTGCCATCACTGCAACGCCTTCCAAAATGAGCGGCAGCGTTTAGCTGCCTGGAAACACTCCACCCACACGTGGTTCTATGTCCGCTCCTGATGCTGTGCGTGCAGTGCACTCCTTGAGTTGTCTCAAAGGCCCATTTTGTCCCCTACACCTCCTTCTCACCAGTCCTCCAGCCACATGTGGTTCACAATCCTGAGGTGGTGCCGCCGTGCCACCTCATACTTCATGCCTGGCAGCAGAGGGACACACGTGGTGGGGGGAGAGGCTAGTGAGTCGACTCAGGAATGTGTCGCCGGCATGCCACCTCGCACTTCCTGCCTGGCAGCAGAGGGACAGATATGTGGGAACATGCGTGGTGGCACATGCACGGTGGGGCACGCAGGGGCGGGGGGCAGATGCGGGAGGAGGGGCCAGATGCGGGGGTAGGCAGATGGGGGAGGGGGAGGGAGATGCGTGGGGGGGAGGCAGATGCGTGGTGCATTTTGTGGAGAAGCAAAGGTGGAGGGTGGAGCATGGGCTGGCAGGAGACATGTGGCAGGAAGGATGCAGAGAAGCAGATGAGCAGATAGTGAAACGTGCATGCGGGGGGAGGGCAGATGCATGATGCATTGCATTCTGTGGAGAAACGAAGGTGGACGGTGGAGCATGGGCTGGCAGGAGACACGTGGCAGGGAGGATGCAGAGAAGCGGATGAGCAGATAAGATAATGTGCAGGGTTTTGAGGCGCCTCAAATCTTGCATCCGTCCTCCACGCACACAAACCCGCACGCATACAAGCGCTCGCTCACACACGCACGCACGCACGCGCGTGCACACCACCCACCCACCCAGCCCAACCATCACGCTCCTAGCCCTCCTCCCTCCCTCCCTCCCCACCCCCCTCCAACCCAACTGCACACAAGCACACAAACCTTGGAGCTCGTAGCACACGAGGTGCGTGCATACACCAGTGTTGAGATCCCGAGAGAATCTTGCACCCATCAGCTTTGCCATGGTCTGAACGAGGGGTGGAGGACGGAAGGAGTGAAGGCATGAGTGCAGAGCAGTGCAGTGCGGTGCAGTGCAGTGTGGTGCAGTGCAGTGTGGTGCGGTGCAATGCAGTGCACACACGAGATGATGCTGATACTAGAAATGATGATCATATGAGAGGAGATGCTCCCATACGTGCTTCATACTCACTACGTAAAACTCGCTAAGACGTGCCTCGTTGTGAACAAGTCTCATGCTGTCACTGCAGCCCGTGAGCCTCGGCACCAGCCGCTCGAGGCCTGGAACGCCACATGCTCTTTATGGCCACTAAGAAGTACCTGACTACCTCGTTATAAGCAGTTTCAGTTCTCACCACCACATCTCGCCGCAAGCTGCCACTGTAGCCTGTGACGCTCAGCAGCAGCCGCTGGGCACCGGGAATGGCTCCTTTGAACCGCATGGGGCGATGCAGCACCTGGGGGGGCAGGCAGGTGAGGTTGGTGGTGGAGTGGGAGGAAAGTCACGATGGGGCAGGTGGTGTGGTGCAGGTAGCCAGGGGAAGGTTACCACAACACCAGCCACATGGCACCGGGAATGACTCCTTTGAACCGCATTGGGCGATGCAGCACCTGGGGGGGCAGGCAGGTGGGGCAGGTGGAGTAGGTCGGAGACAAGTCAAGGCGAGAAAGGTGGGACAGGTGGCACATTTGGGACAGGTGGGACAGGTGGGACAGGTGGGACAGGTGGGACATGTGGGGCAGGTGGGGCAGGCAGGACAACCTAAACGTACCGAGGAGAGGGGAAGGAGCAGGAGAACCGAAACATACCGAGGAGAGGGGCAGGAGCCGGAGAATCTAAACGCACCGAGGAGAAGGGCAGGATGCGAGAATGGCGTACCGAGGAGAGGGGCAGGATGCGGGAGTGGCGGAGGCAGTGGGCGAGCCACCTGGCAGTGACCACCACCTTGCCGTCGCTCTCCGCCCTCACACACAGGTCGTCCTCCTGACAGGAGGGTGGAAGAGGAGGACGGGGAGGACGGGGAAGCGGAAGCGAATTAGGAAGATGGGTGGGGAGAAGTTGAAACAGGGGCGTGGTATGCGTGCGTAACATGGATGGGGCATGAGGGGAAGTGACCACCACATGGCCATCACCCTCGGCCCTCTCACGCATAGTGTGTCCTCCTCTTGCCATGGGGGTGGTAAAAGTAGTGTTTTGAGACGTCTCAAAACACTACTTTTATCTCTGCCCTCTCACGCACAGTGTGTCCTCCTCTTGCCATGGGGTTGGGGAGAATGGGCAGCGGTGGAGCCCTGAACAGCAAGCCAGTGAGGCAGTGTCACCACCGCCATGCTCTCACCACCACCATGCTCTCCCATGCTCTCTGCCCTCGCACAATTGCTGTTCTCGCACATGGAGTGACCTGCTGGGGAGAAAAGACATGTGAGGGCTGCACGGCATGGGTGCAGGTGGCAAAGAGGGTGCAGGTGGCAAAGAGGGTGCAGGTGGCAAAGAGGGTGCAGGTGGCAAAGAGGGTGCAGGTGGCAAAGAGGGTGCAGGTGGCAAAGAGGGTGCAGGTGGCAAAGAGGGTGCAGGTGGCAAAGAGGGTGCAGGTGGCAAAGAGGGTGCAGGAGGCAAAGAGGGTGCAGGTGGCAAAGAGGGTGCAGGTGGCAAAGAGGGTGCAGGTGGCAAAGAGGGTGCAGGTGGCAAAGAGGGTGCAGGTGGCAAAGAGGGTGCAGGTGGCAAAGGAATGGGAGACACCTGCAACATGTGACAGGTGAGTTACCACATTCCCAGGTGGTGCATTATGGTTACCACAGTCCACAGATGGGAACTCATTACCATGGTAAGATTGGCGACAATCATGAGGGAGTGTGCTAGCACAGCATGGTTACTGCAGTCGCAGCCGCAAGCTGTGTTACCAAGTTGCGGGGGCATTACCATGGTAAGGTCAGCGACGCTCACGAGGGAGTGCGTTACCACAGTCACAGTCGCAAGGGTGTTACTATGGTGAGGTGAGTCGCAAGGGTGTTACCATGGTGAGGTGTGTCGCAAGGGTGTTACAACATTCTGGTTACGACAGTCACAGTCGCAAGGGTGTTACCATGGTGAGGTCATCGACGATCACGAGGGAGCAGGCAGGGTCATAAGCGGGCAGCACCGTTCCCCCTGCGCGCCTCACATTCTCCTCAACCTGTGTGGACGGGGGAGTAAGAGGGCAGATGTGGGTAACTATGTAACCATATGAGCATAAGGGAGGTGGAGGGGTCATAAGCGGGCAGCACCGTTCCCCCTGCGCGCCTCACATTGTCCTCAACCTGTGTGGTCGGGCAGGGGAGTCAGAGGGCACGTGGGAGTAACCATGTAACCATGGTGCGAGCGAATAAGGGGCACGTGAGAAGAATGAAATGGTGACTGGCAGGGGAGTCAGGCCAGCAGGGGAAGCTGGAATTGGGAGTTGACCTGACGGAAGATGACCTGATGGGAGTTGACCTGACGGAAGTTGACCTGAGGGAAGTTGACCTGAGGGGAGTTGACCTGAGGGGACTTGACCTGAGGGGAGTTGACTGAGGGGAGTTGACCTGACAACGTGACACAAGACGAGTTGACCTGACAACGTGACACATGACTCAAACACAATAAACACCACGCCTAGAGCGACAATCCCGACAGCCCCATTCGACCTTATTGACGACGTTGTTGGACGAGCCGCCCACCACGACGCGCATTCCCGTGAGGAAGAGTCCAGACTCGCCCGCCCGGACTACTATTGCCTCTGCCTGCGCCACCTCAGCCCGCTGCTGCTTCCGCGTGCCTTCCACCTGCGCCCCTTGCGCCTCGACCATCGCTGCTGCACTCTCCTCTGCTTCGCTTTCTCCTGCTTCGCTCGCTCCCCGCCTTGCAATTCCCTGGCGGCGGCAACGATTGCTCGACAAGATACAGCAGGCCGAGAGGCTAAGCGGCAGGTGGAGGGGTCGGAGAGCACAACTGGTCGATGCGGAGGAGTCAATGCAAACGGGCGAGAGAAAGCAGAGGCCGTGCCGCAGGTTGCGAGACGTCGAACCGGATGAGGCACGGGCCGCCTCTCGTGGCGAAAACTGTTTCGCAGAGCGATTTCGGAACAAATGGTTCGACGCCGCGGATGTAACGAGGGGGCCTCCTGGGAGCTACGTGAAGATGCTACGGTCTAGTGCGATAATGTTCGGAGGATGTCGTAGACCATCAGGAAAATGTGCAACTGCCGAAAACTGACTCCGGACGCTGTGCGGACGCAATGGAGACGTGAACGATACGACCCGAGCGGAAGCAACGCGAGTCTGTTTGACGCATAAGCCAATTACAACGTACACGCGAGCCGCCGGCTGGACGATTCTGAATTTCGAGCTTCTCGCTAGTCTCGGCATTTCCACCCAGTGCTAATCCAGTTTAACAGTGACGCTTGCTCTGTCGCCGACTAAACACCCCTCTATGTTCTGCTCTTAATCTGCTAGCGTTGCCGCCAGCCTACTCGTCAACGTCTTTCCGCATTTCGGACCGCCGCCAAGGTACCATACTCACAGCGGTCTGTTGTCGGTATTTATGCTTTCAGTCAACTCAAAGTGTCAGAAGAAGGTATGCTAGTGCTCTCGGGGTTGGCTGGTGTGTTACTTTAGGCGGGAAATGTACTGACTGGTTCACCACCTCATCACGCTGGTTCAAACATTTGAAGACTGAGCTTTCAGAGAGGAATGACTATAGAGAGTATGTTTTATGTTGTAAATCGTATACAATTGTCCACCATTATTACAATTTATCGATCTACACCACAAGCCACGCACCACACCTTCCGTTCTCAAATCCCATCGCTGACATGGCAGGATCCTAGCCGCAGAGAAAGGTCGTCAGGCTGCGATTTTGAAGTCTTTCCTTTCACTGGAACGTCGACCAGGTACATCCATCCAACTGTCAATCCTCCACTCCACAGCTATTTCCTCGAGTGAGGTGAGGGTGCTGTGTGCTCTGCTTCCCCTCTATGACTCCACTAACACCTCCCCACAGCAAAACTTCACGTCCACGACACGCACATCAGACTTCAAATTTCCAGAAAATTGGGGTGGGGAGCGGGGCGCGTGGTCACTCCAATGCTGTCTGCTTTGGCTCGAAACTAGCAGCCACAACAAGACGACAACTGCGTAACCCTCTGCATAGTTGCTGTCGATCGATGGCGATGCGACGTAGATAATTCTCCTTAGCGCCACTAATCATAATGCGGACTGGGTACAACCCAGCTGTCGATGTGGCTCCTTAGCGCCACTAACTAGCCCAGCTCTCGTTTTAATTCTCGCGCCATTTCGCCAAAAAAACCAGATTTGAGCCGCGCGCGCCATGGATTTCGACGAGTTTCACCTCTTGCCCGTCGAGCACGCGAGCCAGGCCCATCGATGGCTCGCGGTCGCGTCGTGCAATCTCGTCACCGCCTCGCTCGTCTTCTTCCTCATTCGCCACCTACCCAAAGGCCTCCCTCGCCTCATCGCCCTCTCCCCGATTATCCTCCTCAACATCGCCCTCCCCTGCGTTTTTTCCGCCGCGAAACGCGGCGAGTGCATCGAGAAGGGCCTCGTGTTCTGGACCGTGTCGTGGCTCGGCAATTTCCGCCTGCTCGCTTTCGCGTGGAACCGCGGCTCGCTGACGGACCCGGGTTACTCCGCCAATCTTCTCCAATTCCTCGTCGCCCTGTACATGCCCATGCGAAATCGCGTTCGCGAAACGGCGAAAGCCGCTGCCTTTTCGCCTGAAACGCCCAGTAAAAGACATCACCGCTGCCACAATCAGCCTGCATCCGAATCCTCGCCGCAGCTGCTTCTGCGAGGCGCATTTAAGGCCTTTCTCCTATCCCTCACCATCCGAGCATACGCTTTCAACCTCCCCGCGCCGGCCGTGACGCTGCTGCACAGCGCGAACCTCTTCCTCTTCGTCACGCTCCTCTGCGAGCTCGTCGCAGGGGTCGTCGCCGCCGTCGCCCCGCGCTTCGCCGTGGAGCCGCACTTCCGTCGCCCGTACCTAGCGACGTCGCTGGGATCGTTCTGGGCGCGACGGTGGAATCTCGTGGTGAGCGGCAGCCTGCGCGAGACCGTCTACGAACCCGTATTAGATTGGCTTGAACGCCCGTGCTCAACGGAAGGAGAGAAGGCAGCTGAGAAGAGAGCACGAGGGCAGGAGGGTAATTCTGAGTTTGGAATTGGGTATCCAGCAGCCAATGGGGGGCATGATGCAGTGAATGGTCGCGGCTGCGGGGTTTCTGATGGGTTAAAAGCGGTTGAGAAGATAATTGGCTGCAGTGAGAAGGTGAATGGTTACAGTGAGAAGATGAACGGCTGCAGTGAGAAGGTGAATGGTTACAGTGAGAGGATCAACGGCTGCTATCAAAGGAGCAGTCGGAAGCAGGAAATGGGTTTTGTGAACGGGTCTGGAGAGAATCAGAAAGGGCTCACTGACAACTGTGGTGACACTTGTTGGTTAGACAAGGCAAAAGCAATGAAGCAGAACACATGCGCTGCTGCACCTGCTGCCGCTGCTGCTACCGGTACTTCTCCGAACAGGCACAGACGCCATGTGAGCTTCCCCAGGGCAGCAGCAACAATTGCCTCTTTTGCTGTATCCGGAGTGATGCACGAGCTGGTGATTCTGTACATTGGAGGGGCCATGACAGGCGAGCAGATGGTGTTTTTCACCCTACATGGAGTGCTGACTGCGGCAGAGGCATGGGTGAGGAAGGAGTGGGGGAAGAGAGGGCTAGTGCCGATACCTAAAATAGTGGCAGGAGGGCTGGCTCTTGGGTTGCTGCTGTCTACAGGCCATGTGCTCTTCTTTGAGCCGTACCAGCGGTTAGGTGTCATAGGGTGTGTTGTGGACGGGCTTCAAGCCCACTTCTCGCAACTCATGAAGTTAACTTCATAAGGAAGTCAATGCAAAAGCTTTTTTTTTTTTTACATTTTCTCAGTACATTACAGCCTGCAAGAAAGGCAAGTACCTCTCCAACCATCTGCCCAGTTGAATCTCTTCACTCCCTAGTCCTACCCCCTCCCCCCAACCCCTACCCAGCCCTAGTGGCCAACTTCTCTGCCGCTACGCTACTGCTTGCACCAGCCTCTGCAGCTACTGGGAAAACGGAATCAGCAACAAAACACTGCAAGCATGCTGCTGAGTCTCAAACCTTCACTACACGCCCCACCAGCACAAGACTTTCAAAGCCCTTGTCATTTAAAGCCCTAGTCACAGGAACAGGTTGCAATCGGTGCTGCACATGGCGTTGGCTCCACATGAGACGCATTTATTTATCTGCGACGCAAGTGGCATGAGAATGAAAGGTTCGGCCGAGATGGGTTTGAAATGGGAAAAGGAGGCAATAAAGACGAGCAACAAGATTGAGGTTGCGTTACGATGATTTCGGGAAGGAAACGAGCTAACACGAACGAAGCACTGCAAGTTGGCCTGAAATGGTCCATTCAAGCACGGCACGGCAAGGTAGCATTGAGACGGAGCGGGCAGGAGAAAAGACAGAAGGGGCAGGATAAAGCAGAGCGCAAGAGGGGGTATCACAAGCACTGCAGTGGGTGAAACCAAATTTTCATATGCCTGGCGGCAAGTGGCAAGGTGGCAAGATGATAGGGAGGCAAAGTACGCACCAGCCTCGCAGGAAAGAGAAGCAAATTTGGGGACCTCCAGCTTGCTGCAAGGACGAGAGGAACAGCACGTTCAGAGGAGATGTTGATAGGATACGTTAGAAGCAAGTTAAGGCGATGTTGATCATAAGGAGGCACGACAGTCACAACAGTGGCTCACAGCAATACCACCCCGCATCACCCACCTGGGCCGGGGGAAGTTTTTTTTCAGATTGGGGACTTGCGGCTTCACGGCTTCGGGCACCGGCGCACCCTGGCAGGCACCCTTCGTGAAGAACCTGACCTTGCCGCAAACCGCTTGTTTCTTCCCATTGAAGCTGTTGCTCTGCTGCGGTGCTCCCAGCCACCACACTTCCACGCCCTGGCGTCGTTGAGAGACGCCTGGGCGGAAGGCTCAAGGGTGACGCAGGTGGCTGGGGCGTTAAAGCTGACGAGGCGGTGAGCTGGCACCACGTTGACCTGCGTGGCCACCCGCACCTTCGCCTTCACCTCCCTGCCCGTGCTGTCTTCCCCGCACACCCACCCCAACTCCCGCTGGCATGTCGGCATTCCCAGCTTCCACCGCCATGCTAACGGTAAATCTGCTCTTCAGCTGGAGGCTCCTCCGCACAGTCACAGCGCTGCTCGCGCCGCCCACTCGTACGCGCGCAGTGTTCCAGCGATCCGCGCCGCGCTCCCCTGCCGCCACGTGAGCCGTGGCGACCGCTGGACGCAGAGGGAGCCACAGGGCGCGAGGGTTAGCGAGCGCACGTTTCCGGCAAGGGGCTTGAGAATGTATTTGAGATTTCTCAAAAAAGTTAGCGCGTGCACGTTCCCGGCAAGGGGCTTGAGAATACGCGGCAGCCGAAGCAGAGAGACGATGACACTATGAACGAGACTCACCGCACGTGACAGCAAGAACGCGGAACGGAGTTTTGAAACGTCTCAAAAAGTGAAACTTCTTGAAAAATCTCAAGACTAGAACCAACTCACCGCAGATGACGGCAAGGACGAGGAGCGGAAGCAGCGCGGGAGGGGAAGCGGCCATGATGACCAGCGGGTTCACGCTGCCACGTCAGCAGTGGGTGCACGCACAACCGAGTGACTGGAGCCTCCGGCGACAAGCGACAGGCTCTCGGGTGACGGGTGATATAGCTGATACAGGTATAGATAGTCGGTGGTATAGCTGATGGCGCTAATCCTAA